ATCCTAGACCATGATTGATGCTGTCTCGAGTAGTATGTGTATTGTTTAACTTGTTTGTTTGCCTCCCTACATACATCGTATAGGTGTAATTCCTTGACTATGTCCTTGAATGTATCTGGTAAAGTTTTCTTTCTGGTTTTGCTTCTTTTGTTACTTTGATAGTCATCTTGTATGTTTGTGATTGCGTTAAAATCCCCGACAATGCAGATGTTTTCATACTCCAAATCTTTAATTGTATCATGCAATTTCTTTAAAAAGTTGCTTTGATTTCCATTGGCTGCATATATGGATACTAGTAAGCTTGTCCTCAATTCTGTTTGTATTTCTATTTTAAAATATGTCCTTCTGTATCTGTATATATTTGTTTCGTTTTTAGATGTTTTTTAATATATATTGCGACTCCTCTCTTTTTATGGTCTCCTAGGGACATGTATAATCTTCCTAATTTTTGATTTTCCAACAATTTTTGTTGTTGTCTTTTGATATGAACTTCTTGTAGTGTTATAATATCAATATCAAGTTTCTGCAGTTTTGTAAATATGTATTTTCTTTTGATTGGTGAATTGAGTCCGTTTATATTAATCGAAATGATTCTTAATTCTTCTTCCATCTCTATTGGTTTATCTGTTTGTTGTTTTCAGTTTTGTTGTGTTTCTAGTAACTCTTTGTGTCTTTTCCCTCGCTCCCTCTCTCTCCATTTTTTCTCCCTCTGCTCTTCTTTTATCTTCTTGATCTTCTTCTTCTCTTTCTGTCTGCTGTGCCTCATGTCTCCTGGATTCCACTTTTTCTCCTCTTTCCTGCTCCTCTTCGCTGATGAAATCTTGTTCAAAAAACTCTTGAGCTTTTTCTAAGCTATCAATCCTATACTTTCGTTCCTCCCAAGAGATAAGTAATCCTTCCGGTAGTAGCCAATGGAATTTTATTTTAAATTTGTTCAGCTGCGTAGTTAAGAAATTATAATTCCTTCTTTGGTTTCTTGTTCTTCTCGGTATTTGTTTGAGAATTTCTTTTCTTTTGTACATCATTGTCTTTTCTCCTCCAGTCGGGCACGGCAGTCAGGATGGGTGGTGACTTGGCAGAGTTGCTTATTGGACCGGGTTATCTTGAAGGTCGGAAGTCCCTCCTCCTGCCTGCTGACTGACAGTTTTTCGACTCGGTCGAGTCAGGACCGGTCGTGTTTAGGGAGATTTCTACAGTTACAAAAAAAAAAAAAAAAAAAACCTAGGAAAGAGAAAACGCGTTAGTAGGACGTTTTAAAGAAGCGAGGCTGATTTTTCTTTCAGCGTTGTAGCTGCCTAGCTCCGCTGTTGCCTCGCTGGGTGGATTGCCGGCTGGCGATCCACCCGCCGCGCGCACGAGTTCGCTCCGCCGCGCCGGCCATTCCGCCCTACAGCTGAGAGGAGGCATAATTAGATCGAGCGCCGGCGGCTAAATTGAGCGTGGGACAGGAGTCCGCTCTACTCCAGTGCTTTGCCGGCTGGCTAGCTCTTGGATTGTGAATCCCTTTCTCGTTAGCCTCTGGACAGCGAAGCGAGGCTAAAAGGGATAGCGGCGACAGCGTGGGCGCTGAGGAGCGAAGCGCGGCGCTTTAGGATAGCGCCTGTTCAATTGGCGCGTGGGCGGCCTCGGCTCTATTTCAGGTGCTACGACCGGCTGGCTAGCACTTTGAGCTCGTTGCCCTATCCATTTCAGCGATTGGGCGCAGTAAGTACTTTGGGATAGTTCGGGCCTATTGAGCTGAGAGGAACCGCCATTTTAGAGCCTTGGACTAATTAGCCGCCATTTTGGTGTCACGGCTGTGCACCATTCATCTTGTCCCAGCGGCCATTTTTTTGTGCAGTAATCAATATGGCTGATACTTCTAATGCTAATAAGGGCAAGAAGGGAAAACGCCACCACCATCAGCGAGACCCCTTGAGGGAGGCCTCCTCTGGCTCACAAGCAAAAAAATCTAAGTCGAGTACTTCCCAGGAACCACCTATGTCCAGGGATGAACAGAGGAGGCACAAGGCCATAGAGAAAGCATGCAATAAGGCAGCTTCCTCCTCCAGAACGACTACGCAGGATCCTTCAAACCCAGAATCTCTTCAGGCTCCTGCTAGGGATGAGGCCTTAGCAATACCCTCTCCTATTCCTCCTCTCTCTCCTGATATCTCAGTTACAGGGGATTCCTGTGTACCTGACACAGCCTCAGTTTTTCCAACTGCCACTCCTGTGGTAGCTCCCGCCCAAGGGGATCACATCTCTAGAGCTGTCTCTACTGAGTTGGAACATCCGGAGCTACAGGCCCCCTCAGAGCAGAGACTGGATGTCACCCCGGCCTTAGCTCGCTTAATTGCGGATTCCATAAGACAGGGCATTGCCCAGGGATTGCAAGAGAAAGCATCTTCGAAAGTTTCAGAATACCTAAGCCGCCATACACCTTCGGTTACTTCTCAGCCCCTTCTATCTTCTTCTCAGGCTCCGGCTAGGGCAGCTTCTCCTTCTGGGAACAGCCAGAGCTCTCTTTCTGGGGAAGAAGACCAGGCAATCATAGACAATGACTTGTCGGAGGATGAGGGCTTAGCGCCTGACCAGCCTGCCTTTGTCGGTTTGTTCCAGCCCCAGATGTTCAGGTCCCTCTTGCACAAAGCCCAGATAACCACTGGGCTGGGTCTTCCTGCAGCCTCAGACCAACCTCAACCGGGGACTTCAACAGCTTCTTCTTCCTTATTTGACGTGCCTACGGTGCAAACCGAGATAGTCCCGGCTCCTAAATTATTTACAGAGGTTTTACAAAGACAATGGAAGAATCCGAGTACAGGGCCTATCCCTAACAGCCTAGTTAGGCGCTTATTTAACTTGGCGGCGGAGTATGCCTCTCTTTTGCAGGTTCCCCCTGTGGACGCACCGGTGGTGGCCTTATCATCTCCTTCTCCTGCTTCGGGTCCCTCTGAGGAATCCCTGCGTCCGGAGGAGAGGAAGACGGAACGTACTCTCATCAAGGGCCACCAGGCGGCTGCCTGGTCCGCCCAAGCGGCATCCTCTGCATCATTTTTTAATCGGGCTTCGATCCTGTGGCTGAAGCAGTTGCAGGAAAGGATTCCAGCCTCTGAGGTGAGAACACACCATGACATTAACAAGATTCTGGCCGCAGTAGAGTATTCTGCGGATGCCACTTTGTCTGCAGCCAGATTCTCCGCCAAGGCCATTGGTGCCGCGGTCACGTCTAGAAGGCTGCTTTGGCTGAAATATTGGCAAGCCGACGCTCGTAGTAAATGGCGCCTGGCTTCAGCCCCATATTCATGTGACAAGCTCTTTGGCCCTGCCTTGGAGCCTCTTTTGATCGAGACCCGGGATCACCGGAAGATCTTACCGGCCATGTCGCGGAGATCGGACGGCCGTTCGTCGAACTCCTTTCGTGCGCAGTCCTTTCGAGCTTCAGACGGCGGCTATTTCCAGCAGAGGTCCCATCGTGCCTTCCAACAACGTGGAAACTTCCAAGACCCTCAGGTCAGGCAAGGCCCCAGATACCCCCCCAAGAGAGGTCAGAGAGGCGGTAGGGGCCGGCCCTTTCGACGGTCTCGTTAGAAGCTCTTCACGAGAGGAGCTTGGGGGTCGCCTGGCCCTTTTCTCCCAGGCCTGGGAGGATACGGTCTCTGACACATGGGTAAAGAATACCATTAAATTCGGCCTTTCCCTAGAATTTCGATCCAGCCCACCTAATAGATTTATTCGTTGCCCAGTGTCTCTTGATAGTGCCAAGGGGCCCCTGGTCTCCGCGGCGATCCTTCACTTGTTAACCATAAAAGCAATCGAACCAGTGCCTCCCTCCGATTTAGGCTTAGGGTTTTACTCCAGGTTATTTTTAGTTCCAAAGTCCTCGGGGGGCTGGCGGCCTATCCTAGACTTGAAAGCCTTGAACCGGCACATAACTTACCGCCGGTTCAAAATGCACTCCTTGCAGTCTATCTTGATGGGCATTCGGGAAGGGGATTTTTTATGTTCAGTGGATTTAACTGAGGCCTATCTCCACGTCCCTATCCTTCCCGAACACCGTAAATTCCTCAGATTTTGTTTCAACAATAAACATTACCAATATAGGGCATTGCCCTTCGGGTTGTCCTCGGCCCCAAGAACTTTTACAAAAATTATGGCGGCCCTTATGGGTTATGTGGCCACGCTTCCAATTAGAGTGTCCTTTTATCTGGACGATGTTTTGATCTTATCCAGGTCTTCCCAGCAAGCACACTCGGACCTATCTAGGACCCTTCAGATCCTCCAGTCTCATGGCTTTTCTGTTAATGTCGCTAAGAGCCATTTATCCCCTTCCACCCGGATCCTTCACCTGGGGGCGGTGATTGATACTAGGTCCTCGGAGGTGTTTCTATCCCCCGACCGGGTTGACAGCCTTAGAGGGTTAGCTGGCAGGGTCCAGAGCCAAGGGTCTTCCTCTATCTTAATCTTATCCCGTCTTCTTGGTAAGATGGTCTCCTCCTTTGGGATAGTCCCTTGGGCCCGTTTGCACAGTAGGGACTTACAATGGGCCCTACTGCCCTTCCAACGCTCCCACAGGGACTCCTCAGCCACGATTCTGGTACTTCCACCCTCGGTGATACGGTCTCTATCCTGGTGGACTTCAGCAGCACTACTGAAAGGGACAAAGTTCCGAGAACCGAACCGTCTTCAGATTACGACAGACGCCAGCTTGTCCGGGTGGGGAGCCCACCTGGGTCCCCACCTAGCGCAAGGCCAATGGTCACCTTACGAGCAAAGGATGAACATCAATGTGCTCGAACTGCGGGCCATCTTCATGGCTCTAAAGGCCTTCGAAACCCATGTGCTAGGTCGGGACATCTTGATCTTAACCGACAATGTAACAGCCAAGGCGCATGTGAACCGTCTTGGGGGCACCCGCTCCAGGGTTCTAATGAAGGAGGCTCGGAGGTTAGGCCTCTGGGCGGAGGACCACTTAGCGTCAATACTAGCGGCCCATATCTCCGGCGTTCTGAATCGCACAGCCGACTCTCTCAGTCGGGCACCAGTCGACCACTCAGAATGGTCCATTTCTCCTTGACTGTTTCAAGAAGTGACTCTTCGCTTCGGACTCCCAACGGTGGATCTATTCGCCAGTGCCACCAACCACCGGCTGCCTCGGTTCTTCACCAGGTTCCCCTGTCCCGGGGCAGAGGCGGTGGATGCCCTTCGGAGTCCGTGGCCAGCCAATCAACTTCTTTATGCCTTTCCGCCAATCAACCTGCTTTCCAAGGTGGTACGGAAGTTGATACAGGAACGCGCGGAACTGATTCTCATCGCTCCTTCTTGGAACCGTCGCCCCTGGTTCGCAGATCTCAGATCTCTGTCAGTGGCGCCTCCTTGGCGGATACCAGACGATCTGTTGGTTCTCAAACAGGGACAGCTGGAACATCCAGATCCGCTCTGGTACCATCTCACCGCGTGGCGATTGAGCGGGAGCTTATGACCAAGCTTCCCCTGTCGGCAGGTGCTATTGCAACCATCCAGGCAGCACGACGAGCTTCAACCACCCGCATTTATGAAGCTACCTGGCGGGCTTTCTCCCTGTGGTGTGGAAGGCAGCTCGTATCTCCTACTTCAGCATCAATTCCCTGCGTCATCGAGTTCCTGCAGGAAGGCTTAGTCTCTGGTCTTTCTCCTAATACGCTTCGACGACAGGTAGCAGCACTTTCCACGGTCTTATCCGGCTCCTCGTCTGAACCACTGTCACGGGACTCTCTGATTCGCCAGTTTCTCCGGGGCGCTACCAACATCCGCCCTCCGGCAATCCACCGCTACCCATCTTGGGATTTACCCAAAGTCCTCCGGGCTCTTACGGGCCCTCCATTCGAGCCTCTAAGAGACGTTTCTTTGAAATACCTTTCTTTCAAGGTCGCCTTCCTCGTGGCAGTCACCTCCGCACGCCGGATTTCTGAGATGGCAGCTCTATCCATTCGTAAGGAGCTCTGTATCTTCCACCAGGATCGAGTGGTCCTGAGATTGGATCCATCTTTCATCCCCAAAGTAAATTCTGTTTTCCATCGAGCACAAGAGGTGGTTCTCCCGAATTTCTGCCCTAACCCGCGACATCCTCTCGAGAAGCGATGGCATACCCTTGACGTTCGTCGCGCATTAAAAGTGTATGTTTCCCGTACGGCGACTTTCCGGCGATCGGACGCCCTCTTCGTATCTTTCTTGCCAGCTTCCTTGGGATTGAAGATTTCCTCTACCACCTTGGGACGATGGATTCGGGCGTGTATTTCGGCGGCGTATGAAGCCTCGGATCTTCCGGTGCCCCGCAGAATAACGGCACACTCGACGAGGAGCGCAGCCACTTCAGCAGCATGGTCTACTAGAGCCTCCATTGAAGAGATTTGTCGGGCGGCTGCCTGGACGTCTCCTTCCCCCTTTGTGCGCCATTATCGCTTGGATACGTTTGCATCGGCGGATGCTGCCTTCGGACGTAGAGTCCTTCAAGGGGTCCATTCAACCTCCTAACCGAGGACCGGCCTCCTCCCTCCCGTCTGGACACATGGCTTTGGTATGTCCCATCCTGACTGCCGTGCCCGACTGGAGGAGAATGGGCGTTGGTTCTTACCTGATACGCCTCTTCTCGGACTGTCGGGCACGGCAGTCAGCCCCACCCACGTGGGGAGTCCGGTCCCGGCACTGTCTCCTCCGGGAGGGGGTTGGGGCTTCTAATGTTGTTTGTTTCTCTCCCTAGACACGTCTTACCTTTTTACTCCCTCGTCTCAAAACTGTCAGTCAGCAGGCAGGAGGAGGGACTTCCGACCTTCAAGATAACCCGGTCCAATAAGCAACTCTGCCAAGTCACCACCCATCCTGACTGCCGTGCCCGACAGTCCGAGAAGAGGCGTATCAGGTAAGAACCAACGCCCATTCTCTCATTTTCCTGTAAATCTCTTCTTTTATCGATTTCTTCGTAAATCTAATATGTATTTCTTTTGGCAGTTTATTTCTTCCTGCATAGTTAGTGTGGACTCTATAAATTTCGTCTATTCCATTTCTTAGCTCTTCCTTATCTCTTTGGGTTACCTTTCCCAATATCTCAATCATTATATCCCCTAGATCCTCATCCTTTTGTTCTTCCACATTTTGAAACCTTAAATAAAAGGATGCTTTTTCCATTTCAAGATAGGTTAATGAATCCTCTGTTTCCTTATTTCCCTTGATCTTGTTTCATCCTCTCCATTCTCTTAGCCGTGTACTCAATTCTTTCTTCTGCTTTATGGATCCTCTGCTCATTTTCCATTATATTCTGTTGAATTTTTTCTATTTTCTCATCCATATCCTTAATATTGTCTTTTATTTCACCCACATCCAACCTCAATTTTTCATGATTTTTCCTTGTCTCTTCATGATTGTGGGCCATCGTTTCTTGCATTCTGTTCATTCCTTCCTTGGTCATTGCTAATGCGGCATGGATATTTTGCATACTAAGAGCAGGGCTCATCTTGTCCTTTTCCATGATTTCAGCTACCTTTTGTTGGGCCGGGGAAGCCATAAGTATCATCTGGCTCGAGGGTGTTTTCTTGCTTGTTTTAGTAGTTGTTACTGAGCTTGTAGTTGCCATTAGTATTCTTTGTTTTATTATTTCCCAAAGTTTCATATACTGATCACTGTTTCTAAATCTGTTTATCAAGTTTCCACCCAAATTTTATCCTTCTTTTTTCAATATTCTTTCAGTATTTTTCAGCAATATAGAATATCAATAAGGAAAATTAAAATGAGGGAGTGAGGGAAAAGTATAATATTCTAACAATTCATCAGTTAGTTATCGTTACTATTAAATATTTAATTACCTAATATATCTCTTATGTTATTAAATAAATATCAATTAGATAAATATCAAGTACTATTAATTTCTAATTCTTATAGTATAAATATATAGGTACAGTATATGTAAATATAATAAATGTAGTGTAATTTAAATCCTTAAACTCTAAACATATGATAACAAGATAATAAACTAATAATTAACAGGATAAAAATTAAATTAGACTATCCACTTTTAAGTAAAGGTTCAGGACAATATATATATTACTTCCTGATCACTGGTGTTAGGCGATTTTGATTACTGATTTTTTATGCTATTGATTTTCCAATCAGCCAGTGTCTTCTAGTTTAAGTGTCCTTCAGTCCAGTCCAGCTCTAAGTATCCAATTTTCAAATATTGAAGAATATTATTCAAGTATTCCAATGTCCAATCATTCAGAAAAACAAAATATTTAAGTCTAACGTTCGTCCCACTCTCCTAATTCCAAATAAAGAAATCTTCTCCGTCGCTCCTTCTTTGGGTGTCCCAAATCCCAAAGTTCCTTACGTTAAATAGTCAATATCCAGTAAAGGTCCAATAAATATCCAGTCAATGTCCAAAGCAGTCTCCTCCCAAAGTAACAAAGTCTCCAAATGTCCAAGTATCTGTATGACAAAATCACTCAGATTCGGGACGATTTGGACTCCGACTGGTTAGTCTCAGGGGGAGGGACTGGGGCAGGTCTTGAGAATGTTATCTGGTATCAGTTTGATCCTGTGACCCCTGAGGACATGGACAGGATTCTGGGCAGACTGAATGCGACCACTTGTTTATTGGACCCGTATCCTTCCTGGTTAGTGCTGGCTTCCCGGGAAGTGACACGAGGCTGGCTCCAGGGGATTATAAATGCTTCGTTGGGTGAGGGTGACTTTCCCGCCGCCTTCAAAGAGGCGGTGGTGAGGCCTCTTCTCAAGAAGCCTTCCCTGGACCCGGCAATGTTGGTAAACTATCGTCCGGTCTCCAACCTTCGCTTTGTGGCGAAGGTTGTTGAGAGTGCGGTTGCATGACAGCTCCCCCAGTACCTGGATGAAACGACGTATCTAGATCCATTCCAGTTGGGCTTCAGGCCTGGGTACAGCACGGAAACGGCATTGGTCGGGTTGGTAGATGATCTCTGGAGGGCTAAGGACAGGGTGTGCTCCTTTGTCCTGGTCCTGTTAGATCTCTCAGCGGCTTTTGATACCATCGACCATGGTATCATGCTGCACCGGTTGGAAGAGTTAGGGGTGGGAGGCACTGTGTTGCAGTGGTTCTCCTCCTTTCTCTCTGACCGGTTGCAGTCTGTGTTGACAGGGGGGCAGAGGTCGACCCCGAGACCCCTCATATGCAGGGGGCCGCAAGGGTCGGTCCTCTTGCCCCTCCTGTTCAACATTTATGTGAAACTGCTGGGCGAGATCATCCGTGATTTCAGGGTGAAGTACCACCAGTACGCTGATGACACCCAGCTGTACATCTCCACCCCAGACCACCCCAACGATGCCCTTGAAGTGATGTCCCGGTGCCTGGAGGCCGTACGGATCTGGATGGGAAGAAATAGGCTCAGGCTCAACCCATCCAAGACCGAGTGGCTGAGGTTTCCAACGTCCCGATATAGTCAGTTGGCGCCATCACTGACTATTGGGGGCGAATCATTGGCCCCCACGGAGAGGGCGCACAACTTGGGTGTCCTCTTGGATTCATGGCTGTCTTTAGAAGAGCACTTGATGGCCGTGACCGGGAGGATTTTTCATCAGGTTCGCCTGATTCGCCAGTTGCGTCCTTTTCTGGATCGGGACTCCTTATGCAGGGTCACTCATACCCTCGTCACCTCCCGCCTGGACTATTGTAACGCTCTCTACATGGGGCTCCCCTTGAGGAGCACCCGGAGGCTCCAACTGGCGCAGAGTGCGGCCGCGCAGGTGGTAATGGGAGCGACATGGCGCTCCCATGTAACACCCCTCCTGCGCGAGCTGCACTCCTCCCTGTGGTCTTCCAGGTGCGCTTCAAGGTTTTGGTTACCACTTTTAAAGCGCTCCATGGCTCAGGACCTGGGTACTTGCGGGACCGCGTACTACCACTAATAGCCTCCCACCGGCCGGTACGCTGTCATAGAGAGGGGCTCCTCCGGGTGCCGTCGGCCAAACAATGTCGACTGGCGGCCCCCAGGGGGAGAGCCCTCTCTGTGGGGGCACCTACTATCTGGAACGAGCTCCCCCCAGAGATATGGAGAATCCCAGATCTGCGCACCTTCCGCCGCGTTATAAAGACCTTTTTATTTCACCAGGCGGGCCTGGCCTAACTTTCTCCCTCTTTTTAAACAATTTTAATATTTTAATATTTTTAATATTTTTAATTCTCAAAGTTTAAATTGTTTTAAATTGGTTGGGGTTTTAATCTGTCTGGGCCAAACTATTTAATTCGATTTTATTTCTGCTTTTTAAATTTTGTATGTATGTATTTTATTGTTGGCTGTTCACCGCCCTGAGTCCTTTGGGAGTAGGGCAGTAGACAAATTAAATTAAATTAAATTAAATTAAAAAATTAAATTAAATTAAATTAAATTAAATTAAATTAAATTAAATTAAATTAAATTAAACTGTGTTTTATTTTCAGGGAAACATGGTATATTGTCTGCCTGAGACAAAAGCATTCCAGAAATGTTGCCTCACTGTAGTCAGTGAAGCCTGTGTGTTTTACCTTTTAAAACACTAAATGTGTTATTTACAAGTTTACTGAGTTGTATGTTTCTCATAACATGGTATCTAATCAGAGTAAAAGGGGGAGAGGAGAAAGAAAAATTTATCTATCTTTGATAGAGCCTCCATGGACAAGTATAGTCTATCTGACACAGGACACATGGTTTCTTTTTTCTCTACCTTTCGATGTGGAAGCAATCCAGAAAATGATAAATACATTCTCATGTAGCTTTTTAGCTTTGTAGAATCTTACTCTAGGAACTATCAAGAAATTGGAAAGTATTAAATACTTCTGAAGCTCAAGTAATGCTTGAGCCAGTCTTGCTTTAAGCTATAGGTGGATGCATATAGTCCTATCACAGCATAAGAGCCTGCTCTGTTGTTATGCTGATGTGCCAATCTCTCCTGATTTGTCTTGCTGAGGGGAAAGGAAAAGTCTGCCTAGCAGCTTTATCTTACATTGCATGACAATGTACTTAAGCCTAACAAGATTTATAGGCCGCCTAAGGCTAGTTAAGTTTTTTATTATTATTTATTTTTTATTAATTAAATTTCTATACCGCCCTTCTCCAAATAGGACTCAGGGCGGTGCACAGCCAAAGTAAAAACAGAGCATACAAAATTTAAAAACAGTATTAAAATAATTAAGTATTTTGGCCGTAAATTAAAACAACCCAATTTAAAATCAATTTAAAATTTAACTCAAGCCAGCCCAGCTAGTTGAAATAAATGGGTTTTCAGGGCCCGACGAAAAATCTGGAGGTCTGTTATTGTACGTATCTCTGGGGGAAGGTTGTTCCAGAGGGTGGGCGCCGTCACAGAGAAGGCTCTCCCCCTGGGGGTTGCCAGCCGACATTGTCTGGCGGACGGCACCCTGAGGAGGCCCACTCTGTGCGAGCGTACTGGCCGGTGGGAGGCTATTGGTGGCAGAAGGCGGTCTCGTAAGTACCCCGGCCCTAAGCCATGGAGCGCTTTAAAGGTGGTCACCAACACCTTGAAGTGCACCCGGAAGACCACCGGGAGCCAGTGCAGCTCGTGCAGGAGAGGCGTCACATGGGAGCGCCTCGTCGCCCCCATAATCCCCCGCGCGACCGAGTTCTGGACCAGCTGGAGCCTCCGGGTGCACCCCAGGGGGAGCCCCATGTAGAGAGCGTTGCAGTAGTCCAGGCGGGAAGTGACTAGTGCCTGAGTGACTGTGCGTAGAGAATCCCGATCTAGAAAGGGACGCAACTGGCGTATCAGGCGAACCTGATAAAAAGCCCCCCTGGCCACGGCCGTCAAATGGTCTTCTAAAGACAGCCGTGCGTCCAGGAGGACGCCCAATTTACGAGCCCTCTCCGTGGGGGCGAGTGATTCGCCCCCAAT